AAAGTGTGAAATTCAACAGAAAAGTCAAATGTTTACAAACATGTTTTGACTTAAGAATGTGTTCTAGTATGATAAAGATGAAGGCAAAAGCTGTTTCCCAGATAGAAATGTTTGGTTCTCAGAACATTCTTAGAATCTCAAAGTGTTGAATGACAACATTGCTTAAATATGATGCACTAATGTTGTTGCAATTTTCAGTGAGAAAGTTTCAGGAGAACATTCCCTAAAAACATTCAAAAAAAATATTTTGCAATAACCCTCTTAAAATGTTGAATGACAACATTGCTAGAATATGATACACAAATGTTTTTGCAATGTTTTCAGCTGGAAGCTTTCTTTAAGTTCCAAGAACGTTCTGGGAGAAAGTCTCTAAAAACGTTCGAAAAATGTATTGCAATAACCCTGTCACAGTTTCACACACAAAGGCTCAAGTGCAGACAGATGACTCGACCACCAAACAGTTGAAAATCGATGAGAATATTTATTCAAAAATACAAACACTAATTGTGAAACCAAGTAACAAACAAAGCAGCAATCTAAACTACCACTAACTAATACTTACTATGAGGAATTTATCAAAACGTCCTCTAGAGGACGACAAACTATAATTACAAATTTACCGCAATGAATACAAATTAAATACTAGTACTACTACTTGAGTAGACGAGAGATTGGAAAGCTACAATACTGGATGCTAGGGTTGGGGAGCCGGAAGAGATGGAGGTGTACCAGATGACTTCAACGGACGGACACGGAGGATATGGAGAGCTGGAGCCAGAAGAATCCAACGGAGTGGAGACAGGGATGAGTAGTGGACCTCAAAGGCAGCAAGAGTGGCGAAAACTGGAGCACAGGAAAGTAGAGTTAGCAGCAGAATCAAAACAACGACCAGAATATAGGAGCAAGCACAAACTAACTTGGGTTTTACTACAATCTGGCGTCTACTTGTGGCTTGCTGGCGTCTTTTATAGTGAATGTAGGTCTGACGAGTGACTGGCAAGCCACGCCTCGCCGCAGCTGGAGCAATCAGCTGATTGCCAACTCAGAGCACCTGGTCACTCCGGCATGTTGCATAACACAAACAGAACCAAAAATGCTCCACTAGGTGGAGCCAAAGGCGGAGGTCATGTCAAACCCTCTTAAAATGTTGAATGGCAACATTGCTAGAGTATGGCGCACTAATGTTGTTGCAATGTTTTCAGCAGAAAATTTCCTTTAAGTTCCCACAATATTGAAATATTGATTGTAGCTGCTTTAACTACCCACTTTCATTCTAATTTTTTACATGAACTGAAACCAAAAGCCTGACTGTGTTTGTTGTCCAGGCAGCACAAACCAAAAAATACATACTCAATGATCATTTTAACTGACATTTAGTCTTTATTGTGGTCTCAAAAAGTACAGCACAGACAAATGAAGCACACTGTTACAATATCTAGAAGTACTTTACTGAAGAATACAGAATGCCAGAGCAGCGACGATGAAAATATCATGCAGGTCGAGGTTTTTATAGGCGGCTTGGAAGCAGAATGTACAGCAGCATGTATCTAACTTCATCTACAGTATCATGGGGCACATCGGCCCATACACCATAAATTACTGCGTTATTATCATAAAGGAAACTGCATTTTTTTGTTTTCTTTTTACAACAGTGCAAAGCTGACCATAGTAAAGCAAAGCAAAACGCAAGCAAGTAATGACTCCAGCACTGACATTCACTGAAGTAAACAACTGCGTAATACTGATGAAGAGCTTCGACATTCCCTTCAAAGGAACAATGGTTTCCAATACTATTCAAACACAATCAACAATGCAGGCATGGCAGTAAAATAACGTCAGTATCATATATATGTTCTTGGTGTTGTGATGACAACATTTGTTCGTTCAGAGCATTGATGTGAATGGATGTTAAATACAGTGCAGTTGTATGTTCAAGAGAAGCATGACTGCTGTGTGAAGACGTGAGTCTCGTATGAGCTTCTATCACTCGGTGAGAACAAAAAGTGACTCAGAGCTGAGATAATAATCAACCTGCTGCTCCACAGACAATGAACTGGATGTTACCGAAGTCTTCAAAGGATCTCAGATGACAACTGTGACACTGATGATACAAAACTCCTCCGGTTTTGTCGACTGCTAAACAAATTTAAAGGGCCACATGATGATTATAAAGACGCAAGAGCAGAAAATACATATTTGCTGTGCCATGTTGTTAATTTATTTTAGAAATTAGAGGATAACTTTACTTCTAGAGTTTCCATCACTTGTATTTTGTGTCAAAAAGGTTGGGAACCACTTCTTTATATCTATATTATGACTTAGTATTGTTATTAGCAAATGTGTTCTTAAAATTTAATTTCTGTGTTATCAGCTGTGTGTTATTAGTCTGTTACCGTTTTTTTGGTTGGGTCACTCCAGAAAAATATTTTAAAATCACATTTTCTGATGGGGCTGCAAGGTGGATCAGTGGTTAGCACTGTTGCCTCACAGCTAGAAGGTCGCCGGTTCGCGTGAGGACACCCGGGATCTTTCTGCGTGGAGTTTGCATGTTCTCCCCGTGCAGTGTGGGTTCTCTCCGGGTTCTCCGGCTTCCTCCCACACAGTAAAAAAACATGTTGAGGTTAACTGGTGATTCTAAATTGTCCGGAGGTGTGAATGTGAGTGTGCTTGGTTGTCTGTCTCCAAGTGCAGTCCTGTGATAACTGGCGACGTGTCCAGGGTGTCCCCTGCCTTCACCCTAAGTCAACTGGGATAGGCTCCAGCCCCCCCTCGCGACCCTAATAAGGATTAAGCGTGTATAGATAATGGATGGATGGATGGATTTCACAATCAACAATTTAAAGTGTTTCAGTTTCCTGCTGTTTGACGACACCTGTGGTGATAAGCAGTAATTGCAGGTGTGTTTTTGAATTTCACTTCACCTGAACCAAAAAAGAAGAATCAGTGATGAAGCCAGAGACACCTGCTGGTTGTTCTGCTATATATTCAGTATATTTATTATATTTAGCACTTCATCACTTCTTGGCATCAAAAGTAACAATGTTGTGGTTGTAACTGTGTAATTTTGAGTCAGATATTGGGGGGGGGACCCAGATTTTTTGTTTTTTAAATACTAAAGAGTTCAACTTTAATCCAGCAAAACAACAACAACAACAACAACAACAACAAAAATAAAACAAAAAACTAAAAATCACTGAAATGTAAATTTGTGCATAATGACAGCCTTATCTTAGCATAAAGGTGTTCTGACAGGATTCACCCACAGAAGCTTTAATTCAAATCATTCCTGCATATAAACCTGGAATCTTTGTGAAACAGCTGATTTGTTGGATGTGTAGAGAAACGTACATTATTTGCCATCAGTTCTTGTGGTAATAAAGTTATATGATTTCACCACCATTGTGTTGCCTCATAAATAGACATTTCATTTTTAAATTAAAAGAATCTTCATAATTGGTTTAGTTCAGTGTGACAGTGAGAGTTCTGCAGCTGGTGCATCAACTGGCTGGTCAACGCCTCCATCTTTAACGTTTTAAACTTTCACCGCCAACCAGTTCATCCTCTGTGGAGCAACTTACTTTACATTTAATGTAAACTCTAACATGCATCACAGCAGCTGCCAGAGTTTAAGGGTACATTTGTTTGCAGCAATTCTACTCATGTCACAAAATTCATGTGACATTTTACCTCTATTAGGCTTCTACTTGTCGACGCTGTAATTTCATTAGCAATCCAGCTCTGAGTTCAAAAGCAAAACAAATACTCAGGCACGCATGGTGCAAATAAACACATTTAAAGAAATGTGCAGTGAAATGAATGTAAATTATTGCTTTGGCTGATACAACAGTGGATAAAGTGTCACATTCGATGGATTAAAACAGAAGCAAACAATCATGAGGAACATTCAGAACACAATCTCTGCGTGGGGACAAATCAAAGGCAATCACTTTTGCAAACTTGTACAAAAAAAATGTTCACGACATGATTTTAAATCACTATTCTGGACGTATGAAGAAACAAATCAGCCTAAATATTCATTGCAGGATTTTCAGATTTTAAGCATCCAAAGTGGGACACACATTATTTGAAATATTCATGAACCTCATTTAGCAGGTTTACAAGACTTAAATTTTAGCTTACGGGAAAACAAACTGCTGCTGTGATTGTTTACGTTCTCCACATTCGGTATTTTGGCAAGGAGAAGTCTTAGGTGTGAATGCTGACATAAAAAGTACGTTACAATCTGTGGCAGTTAGCTAACACAGACAAAGTTAAGAGGTGAGGTGTCCCTATATAGTCTGATTGAATCAGCGGCGGCGACATTTCTCGTCCAGCAGATCATTTAAAGGTACATTACATATGTTTATCTCTTCGTTTCGATACAAAAATTAAGGTCACATCTGTTAGCCGACCAGCTAACTGCCAAAATCTGCAATCTGAGAGATATTTTTGGCTGAGAAAGTAAATTTGGTTTGGCGTTCAAAGGTGAGGTGTAATGGCTGTGATACAATCATCATGAATCATTAAAGTAACAGGTAACGATGGGTCACGATGGTGTGGTGCCGCCTCCTCATGCACAGCTACAATCGCTATGGTCATCTCTGATGCTGGTGGTCTAACACTGCAGTGAGGGCAGAGAGGCAGTGAGTGTGGAGACAGAGATTGCACTGCGGGGACTCGACTTCCTCCCCCGCAGTGTTAAATGATTAAACTTGATGGTGAAGACTTGGGTTTTTGGGTTTGGTTTTATGTTCTGTGTGTTTGTTTGTGTGTGCAGCGGTTGAAGTGAGCTGTTGGCAGTGACGCGACATGACATTAACTGGGATGAGTTGGGCCGAGCGGAGAGAGCCTCCCCAGATGTGTCCAGCGGTTTGAGGAACCATCAGTGTGAGTGTAAGGAGGGGGTTTCGGATTATTCGTTGCCCTACCAGACATCCGGGGGAGGCTCGGTGAGAGGAGGAGGAGGTGGAGGGGGAGGGAAGACGAGGACAGAGGTGTGTTTAGAGGTTGACCAGGTGGAGGTCAGAGGCGGAGAAGTGGGGGCACAGAGCCATGTCTGGGTTCTTCAGCTGTCGCAGGATCCTCCGGTGGAACTTGGAGCGAACCCGGTTGAACTCCATGATGTCGCTGGGATCCTCCTCGATCCAGAAGCGGTGGAACTCCTGCATCAGGTAACCTGCAGTTAGGAAAAGGGAAGTAGTTAGTGCCTTGTGTTTTTAACTGTGTGTCAGAAAAGTTCCAGGACTGGTGTCACAAAAGATATATTTCGAACTCAAATTAAGTTTTCCCCTCAATCAACCAGCATGTCTACAAAGAGATCCTGCGGCATTTGCTTCGTTCAGTGCGCAAGAAAACGTGAGAGTTGTGGCAGGACAAGTTGTGGCTGCTTCACCATGACAACGCACCTGCTCACAATGCCCTGAGCATCCAACAGTTCCTAGCTAAGAAGAACACCGCCATGCTGGAGCAACCTCCCTAGTCACCCGACCTGGCTCTGTGGGATTTCTTCCTCTTCCTCAAACTCAAGGGGGGCATGAATGGGACCCGTTTTGAAGACATGGATGATATCAAGATGGCTGTGACGACAGAGTTGAGGAGGATCCCGGAAGAATCCTTCCAGGAGTGCATCGCGGCATGGCAAAGGCTGGGAAACTGCGTTAGACTCCAGGGGGATTTCTTGTAGATTGTAGTCTGGATTTGAAATTTATCTTTTGTGACATCAGTCCTGGAACTTTTCTGACACACCTCTTATGTGCATGAATGGAGGCGCATATGTGGGACGAATCACACAAAGGCTGCATTTTAGCTTCTATGTGCTCATTGTTTTGGTTTTCCAGCATGGTTTTGGTTCATTCTCACATTTTTTTCAGCACCAAAAAAGCTGAAAGTTAGCAACCTGCAGTTAAACACAGTCAAAGTCCCTATAGGTAAAGCCCTTTTCAGACATGGTATTTAAAACATTGCTGCTTCATCGATCTATCATAGTGAAGGCATTCCGTCACTCAGGCATACATTATTTCTCTGACATATCACCAAAATGCCAGCGAGCAGGTGACATTTGTCATTCATGCCAGATTATAAATACACCAAGTGATGTATAATACACAATGATGCAATAACAGACTAAATCTAAACTAATAGCAGCTGATCAAAGGAAACTACATTAATTATTGGTGAATGCCATTAATTTTAAGCTGTTAGTGTATAAAACGTACATCCATCCATCCATACACCGCTTAATCCTCATTAGGGTCGCG